CAAAGGCTGACTGTCCTTCTCTTGCTGTCTGGGGGGGGGGGAAAAACAAGATGGGGCTCGTGGAAAAACAAGATGGGGTTTTGTGTCTGGCTACAAGGGGATGGGTTGCATCCTCAGCAAGTTTGCGGATGACACTAAGCTGGGGGGAGGGGTAGATACGCTGGAGGGCAGGGAGGGTCCAGAGTGACCTGGACAGATTAGAGGATTGGGCCAAAAGAAATCTGATGAGGTTCAACAAGGACAAGTGCAGAGTCCTGCCCTTGGGACGGAAGATTCCCAAGCATTGTTCCAGGCTGGGGACCGACTGGCTGAGCGGCAGTTCTGCAGAAAAGGACCCTGGGGATTGCAATGGATGAGAAGCTGGAGATGAGTCACCAGGGCGCCCTTGTAGCCAAGAAGGCGAATGGCATATTAGGCTGCATTAGGAGGAGCGTTGCCAGCAGATCCAGAGATGTCATTATTCCCCTTTATTCGGCTCTGGGGAGGCCACATCTGGAGTATTGTGTCCAGTTCTGGGCCCCCCACTACAAAAAGGACGTGGGCGCATTGGAGAGGGTCCAGCGGAGGGCGACCAAAATAATTCGGGGGCTGGAGCACATGATCTACAAGGAGAGACTGAGGGATTTGGGTCTGTTTAGTCTGCAGAAGCGAAGAGTGAGGGGGGATTTGAGAGCAGCCTTCAACTTCCTGAAGGGGGGTGCCAAAGAGGATGGAGAGAGGCTGTTCTCAGTAGTGACAGATGCAGAACAAGGAGCAATGGGCTCAAGTTGTGGTGGGAGAGGTCCAGGTTGGACATTAGGAAAAACGATTTCCTGAGGCGGGTGGGGAAGCGCTGGAATGGGTTCCCTAGGGAAGTAGTGGAGTCTCCGTCCCTAGAGGTGTTTAAGTCGCGGCTGGACCAAGCCCTGGCCGGGTTGATTTAGTTGGAATTGGTCCTGCCTAGAGCAGGGGGCTGGACTTGACCTTCTGAGGTCTCTGTATTTCAGAGTCCACACTGCCATCTCTGTACCCTTCCTTTTTTTTCCCCCTTACGGCCTCTGAGGAAGTGAGTTGTCACTCACGAAAGCGTCTTCCCTGCTCCGTGTGTTGCTCTTTATAATCCCGCCGGACTCCTTGTGGCTCTTGGGGAGAGAGACCGGCCCGGCGGAAACCTCCCTTCTGACGCTTTCTCCTTCCTTCAGGATTGTGCATGAATTTATCCACCAGTACAAACTTCCGCTGAGCCCGTTCTACGGCAGCAACGACAACACCTGGTATCTGGTGAACAACGTCCGGGCCAGGCATATCGACGTGGAGCAAGACCCCGACGTCTTGGAGTACCCCGTGCGTCCCTCGGAGAAGGGCAAATCCGCCACCGCGCTTTATAATCAGACGCTGGATACGGTACGGACGCGGGCACGGGGGTGATGCCGCGAGCCAGCCTGCACGTGGAGGCTACGTCTGCACGACGCGTTTCCTCGGCAAAAAATATGCTAATGAGGGACTCCTTTGCACGAAGCGTGATCTCCTTTGCACGAGTCCCGGTCTCATTTGCATATTTTCTGCCGATCCGTTTTCACGCCGGGGTTTTTGCACGGAAACAAGCCACAGGGACTTTTTTTGTGTGCAAAACCCCCTTTTTCCACAAGATCCTTATGCCCCCAAAAAGGATCTTGCGGAAAAAGGGGGTTTTGCACAGAAAGAAAACGTCCCCATGCGAGGGACAACCTCGCCAGCGGGCGCTTAGGAACGTGTGGGGGGCTGCCCCACGCCAGAGTGGGGTGCGCCGGTCCCCTGGCAGGGTGAGTGGAAGAAGCCCCCCCAGAATGGAAGCACAGACACGGGATCGCTGCCAACATCAGGCCATGGGAGACGATTAAGTGGTAATGAGGCGATTAGGTGCCAGGGATTAAGCCGGGTGTGTTCACACTGATCACTGGTGCAAGAAGCCAAGAGACACCGGGGTGAGGAAATTCTGAGCCTAGGAGTGCTGGGGCGGTGGCCTGACGAGCCGGGCACTAATTAAGCAACGTCTCTGAGGCCGTTGAGCGCCTACAAGCCGCGTTCGGCTAGTGGGGCTCGGCCGGAAGGCCCTCACCACTTGGGTGCTATGAAAGATGAAAATACTCTTCTTGGCACCTTCTGGCATGTCTTGTGCCGGAGAAAATGCAGAAGAAATCCAAAACTGTTCATCCCCCGTTGCCAATGGGATGGAACTAGGCGGGTCGCCAAATTAAATTAATAGGCCGTAGTAAAGTAATTTGGAAGAAGTATTTCTTCACTCAGTGCACAGTCTACCTGTGGAACTCCTCGCCACAGGAGGATGTGAAGATCAGGAGCTCAAAAAAGAGCTAGATACACTCATGGAGGTTAGCTCCAGCAATACCGTGGGCAGACAGGACACGGGGATCGATGGCTTTGACCCCGTCAGGCTGTTCTTACGGCACGCGTCCCAAGATACTGTCTGTAGGTACACGGTGGCAAATTGGGAACACCACCGATCTGCAAAGGGACAGGCCCGGCTGTGGCTCACACGACTGCTTTGTTGCTTGCTCCCCAGGTGACTACGGACTGCAGGGCTTTGAAAGAGAAATACGACTCCTTTACCATCAAGGTAATTGATGCCGGCCGGTCGGCTGGTGCCTTTCACCTCATCCCCCTAAGCCTTCCTTCCTACGGAAGGAGGCATCACGTCCGAATCCCCCTAGGCCAGCCCAACCAGACGTCATCCCAACTAGCTGTACGATATGAGGGGGATTAATTTAGCGACAGCTACTCCCGAGAGAGATCTGGGAGTCATGGCGGCGAGCTCTCCGAAAACGTTGCGCATCGGCCATCACAAAAGCAACCAGCATGTTAGGAATCATTAAAAAACGGGATCGAGAAGAAGACAGAAAATCTCGTCTTGCTTCTCTATAAAACCACGGGACGCCCACAGCTGGAATCCTGCGGACAGATGTGCTCGCCTCATCTTACCGGTTTGAGTTTTCCTCGATGAATGGGTCAGGAGTGCTTTCTCCCACCCCCGGGAATACCGAAACCGTCTGCTGCCTCGATTCGTCGGCAAGAAAGTCTCCTGCCTACTCGAACCGTGCTTTCTGCCTCCAAGCGATTTTGATCCTCTGTTTTGGGCTGGGGCCAGGTTAGGCACTAGAGACCCTTGTGTTCCCTCCTGGCTGAGTGCAGGAGAAGAACTAGCCCCCCCGGTTTAAATGAGTCGTCTCCTTGACACTGCCTCCCTGCTAAAAATACGTTCGCCCTTAAATAATACCCCGGCATGCACCTTGATATGGTTATGACTCTTGACAAAGTTGTGACTTTGCTGCAGCAGCCGTACATGGGCCTCTTCATCGATACGTATTCATTCACGTGGCGCACCATTAACCTGTGGAACTCCTTGCCAGAGAACGCGGTGGAGACCAGGCCTTGAACAGGGTTCAAAAAAGAGCAGGATACATTCAGGGAGGTTAGGTTCATCAAATGGCTGTTAGCCAGGATGGGCAGAGAGGGTCTCCCTTGCTTCTGTGTGCCTGGAAATGGGCGACAGGGGAGGGTCACTTGCTGATTCCCTGTTCTATTCTCTCCCTCTGGAGCACCTGGCATTGGCCACTGTGGGCAGACAGGACACTGGGTGTCTGGCTGTTCAGATATTCATCGGTTTTTCTTATATAAGTAGCTTATAAGATGTTTTAATTATCATTAAAAATGAGTCGTCCCCTCTGGCACCTACACTAACGAGAAGATCGACCCTCCAGAGGGACGATCTAGACCCCCAAATTGAAAACCAAAGCCCTTAGCAACTAACAAATCTATACAGGCTCGTGAGCTTTTGTGGGTAAAACCCGCTTCCTCAGATGAGTTGGAGGGGAATAACGGAAACCAAGAGAGGTATCTAGCAGCCAAAGCGTCTGTCAAGGGTAGGACCCGTGTTGATGCGACTGATGAAGTGGGAGAGATGCGTCCCATTCGTCGCATTCGATGTGAACGTGCGGATGTTAAAGGCAGGGGAAATTGGCTGTGTAATGCGCCAGCCAGGGTATTCTGGTCCAGGGTCACTGGGTCAAACTTGCAGATGACTTTCCGTTCCGCAGTCTCTCTCTGTAAGGGTACGTCTACCCAGCAAAGTTATTTCGAAATAACAGCCGTTATTTCGAAATAACGTTCCTAGCGTCGACACAAGCCAACTGCTGTTTCGAAATTAATTCGAAAGAATGGAGGGCTTCTTTTGAAATGGGTAAACCTCCTTCCACGAGGAATTGCTTTTTCGAAATAAGCGCTGTATAGGCGCGTTATTTCGAAATAACAATTTCAAAATAAGCACTGTATAGACGCGTTATTTCAAAATAACTATTTCGAAATTAGATATTTCGAAATAACGCTGTAGAGTAGACATACCCTTGTTGGTGTGTGACATCCCTTTTGTAGAAGGATAGTTGCTTAGTTCATCAGGTGTGAGATGCGAGATGTTCGCAAAGCGTTTTTGCGCCCACGGCGGGGTCGTCTACCTGACAGATCCCGAATAATTCCTACGTGCATTGGAACTGAAATCCTGGCCTTTCAACCCTGCCTCTCTTCCCGACCAGGAATATTTGATTAAAGAAGGCAACTTAAGTCGAGGAGCCGTTAACATGATCGGCGACCTGATGAATTTAGACGGCGGCTTTCACGTGTCTTTCCTTTACTCGCTCATGGACCATGTGGCATTCCAGCAAGGGTAAGCCAAAGCAAAATCTTTCCTCCCTTGCTGCAGAGGAGGAGGAATGTGTCTCTTGAAGCAGGCACCAGGGAGCAGAACTTCCTTAGTGGATGTCTCTAGCCATGCCGGGCAGGGGTCACGTTCACGAGGCATTACTGAAAGTGGCCGTCTGGGGGCTCTCGTTGGGAATTCAGTCATGAACTTCTGACCGAGAGTGTCTGTAATACCGATGCGGGTCCACCCCTCTGGTCTCTCGAGGGAACCTTAGGTTTAATAGGCAGCAGGTTGAAAGCAAACCAAAGGACGTTTTTCTTCATGCAGCATGCCGTCATCCTGTGGAACTCCTCGCCGCAGGATGCTGTGACGGCCAGGACTTTAACAGGCTTCAAAAAAGCACTGGGATAGGTCCATCAAGATGGGCAGGGCTACTATCTCCAGTTTCTGTTTGTCAGAGGCTGGGAATCAGCGACAGGGGAGGGATCATGTGAGGCGTCCCCATTCTGTTCATTCCCTCTGGGGCACCTGGCGTTGGCCACTGTCGGCAGACCCCTCAGTCCGAGGCCTGCAGATAGCCACAGACAGACCGTCCAGGACACAAGAATCAACTCGTCACCTTCAAAGATGGGATTTTAATTACAAAACAAAAGATAAACTTGAGAACGCATCCTTGGTTGCTAGATGTGACAGAGCAACCAAGGAAAACAAATTAAAACCCAGAGTCAAGTCTCTGGGTGCAAGGTTTTGATGATAAATGGAGAGAGGAGGCAGAGAATCGCACAGAGCCATTCAAACCAAACCTCACAAGAAAGCAAAATGATCCCGAACGCAACTGAATTTACTTTTCCCTCTTACCTGGGGTGTGTCTAGACGACCAGGTTTTGTCGAAAAAGGTGGATGTTTGTCAACAAAACTAGACCTGTGTCTACACTACCGCCTAGTCCTGTCGACAGAACACGAGGAATAACACCTTTTGTTGACAGAGTTCTGTCACCAGAAAGCATTATTGCATCTACACTGTCCTTTGCGTCTACACTGTCATGTCGACAAGCGGCTTGCTTTGTCGACGGAACTGGCTGTCGTCTAGACGCTCTTTGTTGACAGAAGCTTTGTCAACAGTAGGTGTGTGTCCCACATAAGTGCCCTAATCACCAGGCTACAAAGTCATTCTCACCCTCTTTCTGGCCCAGTGACTTCCTAAGTATTTATCCAAAGTGCTCTAGCTCCTGGGCTAAATGCTGTAAGACACTACCACCACAGCATGTCAGATTCTGAATGGGACCATTCCGGTAGGCATGCTTAGAGGCATCCTGCCAGAAGGGCCCTACCTGCCAAGCCAAACAACTCTCTCCCCCGGGTCTGTGGATCATACTTGGAGGCAGGAAACCCCTACCTGAAGTGTGACAGAATGCTTAGAAGTGGAAACTGAGCATGCTAAGAGGCAGAAATTTAGGCACTGAGGGAATGTGGGCACCTACTGGGTTCCAGGGGAACTTTATAAATTACAGCGGAGCCTAAAACTGGGACTTAGTTGCCTAAGTATTTTTGTGGCTTTGAGCCCTACTGCTTTTTCTTCCCATTATTCAGTAGGTCCAACACAGTTAAAAAAGAGTGAGCTGGATTTTGTTCCGGTTTGTCCATTATCAACAGTAGGGGTACGTCTAGACTATAAGCTTTTGTCGACAAAGGCTTTGTCGACAGATACTGTTGGCAAAGCTTATGTCGACAAAGAGCGTCTAGACTACATCCAGTTCTGTCGACAAAGCAAGACGCTTTGAAGACATGAGAGTGTAGACACAAAGGACAGTGTAGATGCAATAACGCCTTCCGTTGACAGAACTCTGTCGACAAAAGGCATTATTCCTCGTCGAACGAGGTTTACCGCCGTCAGCAAAACTGCATTCTGTCGACAGAATTCGGCGGCAGCGTAGACGCAGGTCTAGTTTTGTCGACAAAACCCTGTCGTCTAGACACGCCCAAAGCAAGCAGGCAGGGAATCTCTATCCAATTCAAATTTCAACCCTCTAACTCGAATGGTTCTCCAGGCCCCAGGGCTGACACCTTTGCTAGGTACCTGAGTTAACCCCTTAGTCACCGAGTGCTAGTCAGCTCTCCCCCTGTTCATGACAGTCCCTGTCAGTTCAAATTAGCTAGACCCGCTCATTCGAACCCTGGAAGCCCGACAGCGGCCACTTCGATCTTCCTCTGTAGTGTAGACGTACCCTCAGAGACCTGCAATTCTTCCACCGTCCTCTGCCCTCCATTCCTTCCTCATCTTTTCTTTCAGGCTTGACGAGATCACCGGGGGCTTCGATAAACTCCCAGAGGCGTTCTATCGGTCTTTGAAGAGAGACATCCGATTCCAGGCCCCGGTGGTGAGGATAATACAAGACGGCGACGGAGTGAGGGTGTTCTACCACAGCCGACTACGTCCTGGTGGCCACCGCGGCCAAAGCCGTCCGGCTCATTAAGTTCTCCCCGCCTCTGTCACCCAACAAGACCCGGGCCCTGCGCTCTGTCCACTTCTCGAAGGACGTGAAGATTTTTCTGGCCTGCCGGAAGCGGTTCTGGGAGCTGGACGGGATCTTCGGCGGGAAGTCGGTCACGGGCCACCCGGCCCGAAACATCTACTACCCCAGCCACAATTTCTCCAGCGGGGTGGGGGTGGTGCTGGCGTCCTACACGGTGGATGACGACGCAGACTTCTTCAACTCCCTCAGTGACGAGATGTGCGCGGACCTGGTGCGCGAGGACCTGGCCAAAATCCACCAGCTGCCCAAGAGCTACGTCCAGAAGGTCTGCGACAAACACGTGGTCAAGAAATGGGGCCAGGACAAGTATTCCATGGGCGCCTACGTCTCCTTGACCCCCTACCAGTTCACCGACTTCGCCGCGGCGCTGTACCAGAACGAAGGGAGGGTCTACTTCGCCGGGGAGTACACCGCCCAGCCGCACGGCTGGATCGACACAGCCATGAAAGGCAGCATCCGGGCAGCCAGCCAGAGCGAGAGGAAGGGAAATGAACTGCTGTAACGGGGGTGGCAGGAAGGGGGATTAAAAACGATCGAGCGGGGGATTAAAAACGGTTCTGCTAATCTTCGAGTGTCATTATTTAATAAAAGTTATTTATTAGTTCCCATAATAGAAGAACTAGAGGACACCCAATGAAATTAATGGGGAGCAGGTTTAAAACTAATACAAGAAAGTTCTTCTTCACGCAGTGCACAGTCAACCTGTGGAACTCCTTGCCAGGGTGTGTTCACCTCGATACTGATGCAAGAAGCCAAGAGAGGCAGGGCTTGGGAACCCCAGGCCTAGAGGAAAGCCTGACGCGCCGGGCGCTAAT